AGGAGAAAAACAAGATTTGCGCCCAGGACATCACCGCATGCATGAGGTTGACTTCTTTCGTGCTGAGTGAACAAAAATACGCTTGATGTCACTTGGCGCTTGACACGAAACGATAGGTTGCGATTTCTGACGGCTTTGGTGAGAGCACAAAAGACCATGTGTTATAGACGAGGGCTCATGCAGGAACTCCGGATCCGTTGCAAATAAGTCTGCAGCATGAATTCGTAGTCGAGTCGAGTCTTGTGTTCCTTTCTTTGACGGGGCAGTACGTTGGAGGGCCTGGCTTATTGATGGTATGATTACTTGACGACGAGAAGAAATCATACATACAAAAGCCCACAAGTTTAGAACTCGGAGTGGGTGCCTCGCCGAGGAACTTCACTCAGCAGTCATCCTTGCAAACGGTGTGATCGGTTCTGAACAGCGACTTTTGGTCGCATCATTCAAATAAGAAGAGTCGTGGGCAACAAGGACCTCATTTACCTGTTTGTTGTTTAACTTGTCCTGATGCCAACAAGCGCTTTCAATATACAGATTTAATGGAACAGCTTATACAGAGCGGGTCTCCTAAGAGGCCACTGGAACCGTATAGAAAGGCGCCAACCCCGCACGTTGCTTGCACCGCCCTCAAAGAACTCGACGGAGGGCGGCCGTCTAAATTGACCGTAAACCGTTCCGTGACCTCCGAATCGTTCTGTGCGGTGGCGGCCGGCCGCCGTCTCAACTTCGCCCAACTTTGAAAACCCCTTTTCCGTTACGCGGCCGCGCACGGGCGTGAGCCGCACGCGGGTCGGCTTGACCGATGGGTACTGAGCTAAGCAAAGCAATCTCGACCCAAGATTGACGGCTGCTTCCTCGCTTGGCCACCATGGAGCGTCTCCCGCACGACTTGATTCAGTGCATTCTCCAAAAGCTGGCTGTGCAAGACCCCGTTTCCTTGTTGAGAGCAAGCTGCGTCTCTACTTCGTTGCATCAAGCAATCGAGAAAGACACTGGTCTTTGGAAGAAAGTTTTCCTAGCATCACCAGGGTCTCTTGAACAAAGCTGCGACGCGCTCTTGAGTGCTACCGCTAACGCCGCGCTTGACACCGAAGTGGCTTCCTTGGGCGGGTATAGACGGCTCGCGCTCATGAAAGCGAGGGGCGCGCGCACGCGCGCGGGGCTCGAAAGGCCATCACGTCCGGCTTCTGAACAAACTCCCTCGAGTGCACTCGTACAACAGCGTCTGGTGAGAGGTCCAGCACTGATGTGGCTCGATTCTTGGACCTGTATAGGTTTCGGCGGACCTTAATTGGCTGGAGGGCCTGTAATCCAGAGGCAACGTTGCCCCTGCTTTGCTCAAATGACATTCTACCAAGCGGGAAACCCGGAGACGACGTGAGCGTATTTGTTTCTGCGTGCGATTATGACCCAGAATCAAGCCCTACAAACGATGCGGAATGTACAGGCGTTTATTTCGATGAATTAGTCGAGTGTTGGATCAAGAGAGCTGGTAGAACGACCTTAGAAGGCAAACGCTTCGTTGAAGAGAAGCTCACCGTCGAGACGTACGCTTTCCTGGGTGACGTCATCAGCCATCCTGGACCAGTGACGTCATGCGAGGGCAAGCCTTGGCAGTGGTCTTTTGATTACTATTCAAAGCGTGACGGCGTCGAGTGCGTCCTTCCTCAATGCGAGGGAAAGGTGTATCTTGTGTCGCGAACCCCTGACCGGGCAAGCCAGACGTCTGGGGTCACGAAATTACTGCTCTGGCTGGGGTCGATATTTTAGTTGGAAACAGGGCATCAAAGGGCATCCGGAGGTGCAGTGTTTCCAGCTGAATTCTTGGATGGCCGTTGACTGAAAGATACGTTTTCCTTTGTTTCCTCAATGTAATGGCGGTTGGCTAGCTTCTTTGAGTCAAGGGGAGGAACCTCATTGGCTAGCTTCAATGAAGGTTGTGCAAATTTCCTTACATACTTCTGGCCCCAGGAAGCTTATAAAAGCTTCACCATCGTTGAATTCACGTCACATGAGTAGACACGTAGGCAAGAAGGCGACGTCTGTCTTTCTGGCACTCAAAGATAGGTATGAAAATGTGAGTGCATCTGGGGAGTAAAACTGGGTTACAGTTCCCAAAGGATTGTGTCAGGGCGTCACGATCAGGGGTGAGGGATTTGATATTTACATACGGGCATTCAGATAATGGAGGAGGTTTCGAAGTTCTGGCCCCCTCGACAAAATTTGACGGCAGCATGATCGTGTGTTGATAAGTGTCAATTTGAACGGTGCAGACCGCTCCGAGTCCGTCTGGCTGGTTGCCAGCTGGCGTCGTTTAGAGCCATAGAGTGGCATGCGGGCACGGCGGCATGGTCTGATCATGAGAAAATGATTTGTATATCTATTCGATCGTGCATCATGTGATCCATTCAGATTGGAAATAAAAGCTTCTCGTTGTATATCTCAAACACACAATCGTTTCGGACAGCTAGCCTTTAAAATATTTCCACTATGAATTATATAATGAATGCCTCCTGGTGACATCGATGTTCCGCTTACGAAGAAAGTTCGAGTGCCAAAGTCTGCAGCGATCCATCATGCACTCAAGTTCGATCAGCTCCTCGACAAAAGGACACATACATACATCACATCTTAACGCCCGTACCGAAGATCTTTGCAGAAAACTTAAGTTGTAGGAAGTCCGACGCGCGTTGGCAAGCGCCCGCACATTCCTCGCGGCAGAATGAATGTCACCAGGGGGTACTGCGTGGCTTTTAATTGCAGCTCGTGATTTGCAAGGGCCCAGAGCAGATTCATTTTTTGTGCAGCGCGAGAAGAACGCGTCGCGTGGGAATGTCGTGACGAAGCGCAAGTCTATTCTTTGTCTACTTGCGAAGTTCTCGTGACGGTGTTTATCTTGTTGCCAGCGCGGCCTGTCTTAATTCCGAGTAAACAGTTGTTTGATTTGTGGGATCGATGTTCAGATCACTTCGGGCTGCACGAGAAACTGGGTTATAACTGGATCTACGCCCAGAGATTTTATGTGCGGTTGTCTGGATTAGGTTTCCGGACGCCTTGAACGAAGGCCGTTATTGAAATCAACGATGGTCAGGGCTTTGAATCCTTAAACATGCATCGACATCATGGATATATAAATTCTCGAACTCTAATTGCAAAAGAGGGAATGTTCATGACATAATCGGGGTCATCATTGCAGTAACTTTGCTGTTCAGTGGTAAACGCTCTACTGGGTTCCGCACTCGCTGCACTTCTGTTTTTGATCAGACTCTCTGCTGCTTTGCGTCGCGCACAGTTTTGCTGTCAGCAGACGCTCGAAACGAGTCCTCGCGCATCCACTTGCGCGTCCAGTTTGGAAACCTCCTGCGGAATCCACGACGGCAATCAACGTGTCCCTTTTTTCAGCCGTAAAGTGCTTCGTTCTGGACAGACCTCTGGATTGGCTGCTGCTGCGCGGTGGAAGGGCGTCAAAGCGCACGTGACGCGAAGCAGGAGAACGGCTCTTGCACTGCCAGCTTCCGGAGGATCAACAAAACGACGTCGCTTGGAAGGCAACTGGTCCATAGCGGCGGGGATTTAGTAGCAGCTTAGATCTTGTAGCGAAGTGAACGGAGCTGCCATTTTGCACAGCCGCAGTGCGACCGGCCTGGTCACCTGGGCCGCGTCGATCCGATCAGTACTGCCGCGCGTCGCTTGAGCGGCGGCCGCACCCTGAAACCTGCCGGCCGGCCGGCCGCGTCGCCTACGCGCGGCGGCGGCTCTCCGCGTACCTAACGAGCGCCGCGCGCTGGTCGGCCCCGACGTGGCTGCCTGAGGTTCGTCCGGGCGCGCCTCAGAACGTTTCTCGCGCGGCCGCGTGACTGGCCTTAAATTGCAATTCTTAGCTGGGCGGTATTGGCCGCGGCCGGCCGGCTCACGTTGGCTGTGAGCTGACCCGGCCCACCTTTTGAAACCTTCTTTAATATCGCGGCCGCACTCAAGCTGAGCCGCGCGCGGGTCGGATGCGCGCTCCCTCGCAGCTGAGCCACACTGAGCTGATCATACCAATCCAGATCACCAGGATTGCCAAGGGCCGCTTGCTCTCATAGCGACCATGGAGCGTCTCCCGGACGACTTGGTTCAGTGTATTCTACAAAAGCTGGCTGTGCACGATCCACTTTCTCTGTTGAGGGCAAGCTGCGTCTCTACTTCGCTGCACCAAGCAATCGAGAAAGACACTGGTCTTTGGAAGGAAGCCTTCCTAGCATCAGCAGGGTGCCTTGAAAAAAGCTTCAGCGTGCACCTCAATTCTACCACTAACGCCGCGCTTGACACTGAGGTGGCTGCCTTGGGTGGGTATAGATGGCTGGCGCTCATGAACGCGAGGGACGCGCGCGCGCGCGAGGGACTGGAAAAGCCATCACGTCCCTGTCCTGAACAAACCCAATTAGCAACTGTAAAGAATTCGAAATTTCTGGATCTGAAGGCTCCATCAAAAGCGTGGCTAATGGCGTCAATGACGTGGCTCGATTCTTGCACCTGTGTAGCTTTCGAGGCACGTTGACTGGCTGGAGTGCCAATAGCCCCAAGAAAACCACCCCTCTAGCTTGTTCCGGATACCTTTCGCCAACGGGGAAGCCTGCAGATTCTGAGGGCATTCCGGATCCAATTCACACAGCGAGCGAGCCTTGCGCATGCCCGACAAGTACAACGGATGCTATCATTTCTTACAGTGATACAGTCAAGACATGGGTCAGTATAGCTGATAACGCGACCTCTGGAGGCGGACCCGTCGTCAAATAGAAGCTCTCCGTCGCGACTTACGCTTTTCTGGATGACGTCATCAGCCGTCCTGGACCAGTGACGTCATGGAATGGCAAGCCTTGGAAGTGGTTTTTCCTCTGTTCAATGTGTTGCAAACGTGGTTTTCAAGTCCACTATCCCCAAATCCAATCCAAACCACTGTCGAATGTTCATTGAACAAGTTGGCCACTACGCTAATCAAAGTGACTACTACCTGTGCCTCAAACGGGCTCATCCTCATTGCCCGCACCCAAGATTTCGTCCCAGGCAGCCTGCTCCGTGTTGCGTTCCTTCCCAGGCTTCTTGGCATCCTTCTGCTTCCGTCCTCCTCGCACAGCGTCTTGAAAGCCAAGCTCGATGTACGCGGGGATGAGGTCGACGGTCACCTCCTTGTCGAGGTCCTTCACAGTCACCTTCGTTACCTGCTTGGCCTTCCGTGCCTTGGTTAAGCGGGTCGCCACGACCTTCGCCATCGCCTGCATGTTGTTGGCGTTGACGTTGTCGTTCTTGTCCAAGTTCTGCCCACGAAGGTGGGCCTCCACCTGCATTTCAACCGTAGGAATCGATTACTTCACGTGTTCCAGCGACTCGACGCTTCAACCGGACTTGGTGCAACAAATTGAGCCAGCTTTGTAAGCAATGCCTGGCACTCATATGGCGAGGCGCAGTGTATGCACGGACATACAACACTTGTTAGCAATCACCCAGCAGCACGCAAACTTCAGAATCTCAGCTGACAATCTCAGCTGACAATAGGGGAGAGGGCACGTACCACCATGCAGGTCCAAACGAGCTGATAGGCAGTCAACACCATGTCGGGCTCGCACCACACCCGCTTGGCAATCAGACACATGACTCGCGACGAAAACGGTACGCCGTCCGCATCCTCGTGCCACTTGCCGTCTGCGAGGATAAAGAGGATTCAAGCAGTGCAGAAATAAGCAAAAACCAATGGCACCACATTTCCCGCATCAACGGTAAACTTGCCGGCCAAACTCTTCAGTGGGTCACCGCAAATCCAACTTGACTCAGCGTCGGCAACGTACTGAAGCTTCAGGGCAAACCGTTTGAACGACATTGCGACTGGCATATGCCAACTCGAACATCGTGACGTCATAGACTGGGCAGATGACTTTACCACGCATCCGTTCCGCCCACTCCTCTGCCTTCTCCTTGTCCTCGTCCAGCGTGTTCTTCAAGTTGAACTCTGCGATCCGATCAAACTCCCCGCGGATCCCCCTCACGCCTGACAGCTCGCTGCGCTTTGAAGAGCACGCCTTTGTGTGCTCGCTCACAAGGTAAGCATAATCCTCCTTCTTGAAGAACACTCCCTGTGGTCGTTCGGCTCGCCATCGTCATCGGTGGGCTCCATCCCCTCGTGCACGGCGCGAAAGTACAAGAGCTCGTCGGGCGTCGGGTAGAAGTTGTGACCAATGGCGTCGCTCAACATCAATGCGCTCGCCAACGCGCGCTCCACACTCTGCAGTTGGGTCAGCAAGTATGGCCGTTGGGGACAACAGATTACTCCCAACATACCTCAAACACGCGCTGAACTACGGAAGCTCCAACAACCCAGCATTCATGGTGACCAACCAAGGACACATGCCAAAGCCAACAGCACCTTCGCTGATACAAGCTGTCCTTACCGTCTTCTCTGCCCTCTTTCTCTTCACTTTCATGTATCGAGGATCCACCACGGGCTTCTCCGGTACCACGCAGATTGCCATCTGTTCATCCTCCGACTCGTCCTTCGAGCCTGCACATTTAGGAACACAAATCAGCTTCCAACAAAGTAAAAACCTCCTAGACATACGGTGACGGCGCGCAGAATACGTTACACTCGCTGCGTAAGCATTCCAGCGGAGAGTCTGCGCCATGGATCAGTCTTGGCGCACAGGGGGAACCCAGGGCATCCGGAGAGGAGGGGACAAGAGCTGAGTGTGTACGAGCACACGGAGCTGCGTCTTCAACGCGCAACCCTGCTTCACCAAGTGGGGAGGGAGCTTCACCGAATTCGGAAGCTGTCCCGTCGGGACCCGGACGACGTTCGGACAGCACCGGGGGAGCTGCGACAAGTGCTCTCAACTATCGAGCGGCTGTTCGAGGACCTGCAGTTTGTTTGGTCACTCCTTTATCTGGACGAGTAGCCAGCATGGCTGCAGCGGCTGGAGCGGGAGCGGCAGCAGCTGGTCTTATT